GGCCGCACTCCGGGGGGGCTTTCCCACTTTGGGTTTGGGCGGAGGCGGTTGCCTGCCGCGGCTGACCGTAGCAGCTCCTCCGTCCTTACTTCGTGGTTGGGGTGCTGGCGCAAGCGCCGGTTCACTCCCGCCTCCACTTTTCTTTTTTCCCTTTCCCCTCTTTACCACCTGGGATCAAAGTTCCCGGTCGTTGGTGGGGGGAGAGGGATGTGGGGAGGGAAGGTGTGAGGGTCCTGCGACAAGAAGGGGGCGCCGGTCTGAGGCAACGGCCCCCGGCGTCTGTATGGCAAGACCGCCGCCGGCGTTGTTTCCCTCTGCCTTCTTTCCCTTCCTCTTTCTCTTCCTTTTCTTTTTCTTCTCCCCTCCTTGAGGGGCAGAAGGGTTCTTGGCCGGGGGGACGTTTTTTCCCTTTCCGGCACTGCTGCTCTTTCCGGTGGCGGCCCGAGCACTGTCACCCTTTACCGCCGAAGCAGCGGTAGTGGCGGAGACCCCTAAGGACGGACGGGAAAGGCGCAGCTCCAGCCTCTCCCAAAAGGCTGCGAGCTGTTCCCGCACCCCGTCCGCCACTCTCCTCTCCACATCCCGGAGAGATGTGGGAGACCCCCGTTCCTCCTCCTTCACAGAGGAAGGACCGGCGCCATCCCCGGTGACGACCTCCACCCGGTCAGCCACCGTCAAGTGCTGGGAGAGCTCGTCTGCCAGCTGTGAAGACGCGTCCAGCCCCACCGATTCCCTCGACGACGCAGGGGGGAACGGCACGGACGTAGGCCGGCCACCCCCGCCATCGCCACCGCCAAACGACGCGGCGGGCGTGGAGGAAGGTGACACGGCCGAACTTCCGACCGCCCCCTTCTTTCCCTTCACCTTCCTGAGGCGGGACATTCTCAACGAATGAAGTTCCCGCTTCAGGTCGCGGAGCTCGTCGTGGAGTCCGTCCACCTCACCACGAAGAACCGCGTTTTCCGCAGTGACGCTGTCCAGTTTTGCCTGGACAGCGCCCCTCTTCCCTCAAGGAGGTAACAGTAGAGCGGAGCTCCACGACCTCCGTTGTCAGCTTCCTGTTGGAGGCCTCCAGTCGGCGGACTTCGCTGTCGGTGTCCGTCCGAGTGGACATTAATTGGATGGCCTCCTCCAGGCCGGCGGTCGCCTCCTTAAGCCCACGGACGTACGTCCCCTTTAAGTTTTTAGAGGTGACCGCCATCTTACGGATGGCTGCCGTCATCTTGTTAGCCTCTTCCACCACCTGCGGGGTTGTCATGTCCCGCAGTCCGACATTGGTGGAAGAGGAGCCACTCGCCGTAGCTTGCGTGGGGCGAAGAGTGAGGTCCGGGACACAGGAAGAGCGGGTGTGAGTTCTAAGAAAACTCAACTCACCCGCGATCTCCCTTTCCGCCAGGAGCTCCATCTCCCGCTGCTCCTGGTCAAGCAGCTGCTTCTTTGCGGCCGCCAGGCCGACATATTTTCCCGTAGTAGGAGGACGCCCCTTTCCTCTCTTTCGTTCTCCCACCTTGGTGTTGACCCTCTGTGGCAGAGGGGGGGGGACTTCTTTTTTGTTTGCGCCTGGCAAACTCTTCTCTCCCGCGACTCAGAGACGGTCTCCACGTCCATATCGGAGCCGGAGTCCGCGTCTGGGGGAAGTGAGGTGCGCAGAGCTTCCTCCACAGAAACCCCAGGCCCTGCACCTGGAGCTGCCAGTCGGGAACCACTCCCGACGGAGGAGGCAGGTGGACGTTGGAGGAGTGGGAGTCTTTTGCCCACGTTGCGATTGCCCACAGTGACTATTGCCCACGTTGCGATTGCCCACGTTGCGATTGCCCAAGTTGCGATTGCCCAAGTTGCGATTGCCCACGAGTTGCTTTTGCCCACGTTGCAATTGCCCACGTTGCGATTGCCCACGTTGCGATTGCCCACGTTGC